TGTGTGTGTTGTGTGTGTGTGTGTGTGTGTGTGTGTGTATGATAAGTCTAAATTTAAAAAAAATCTACACTTTGAAACGTTATTAAGAAGAGCGAGAGAGATGAATAATAATAAATTTATTATAATTGCCAGTCTACGATATCACCTTACGGCGTGTATGGACATATAGCCACTTGTGTCATCTCTACGTGATATAAGATATCGAATTCTGAGATTCTTTATGTGTATCAATGCTGCCTTGCGTCAGCAAATAGATATCATTCGTAACTTTACACTCATGACGTTTTACACTGCGCTATTTCCATGTATCTATTTCCATTTCCACCTATTTTAAGTGCTAATATAAGTCATTCGGGATTTATATTACTCGTGTAATTTAATAATCTGCTTTCCTTAAAAAGAAGAAAAAATAAGTTTGTGCTTAAACGCGTTTCATAAATGCCACGCGGAAATTGCTTTCTCCGTAAGTTTTCTTATGAAACATTAATTCGTTTCGTATTGATCCAAGAAACGTGAAAACACGTCTCTATTGAAAGCACTTATTACAAGTATCTGTTTTTGGATGAACAGCAATTCAATGAAATGGAAAATCGAACTTTCTGACGTTTTTTGCGGGGCACACCCCTCTCGGGTAATTTCGATAAATGCCTGCATGGGGTGCCCTCATGGTTCGGTCGAATACTTATTTGGTCGATTGTGAGATTACTCTACAATGAATTTCAATGATTGTTTACAATTACTGTCGAGAAGGCTGCGGTATTTGCTTAATAATTTCATTAAATACGGAACACGCGCAACAAGGCACATATACTTTCAAAGCTATCACACGTGTTAGGATGAATTACGTTTACGCTGCGATTAGATCAATTAAGAGAAACTAGGTTAGCACCAGCCTAATTTTGTTAGGATGAGCAAGTACAATTGTCCTTATATTAAAACTTTCGCAAGCTGCGTAATGATAGCTGCAAGAAAAAAAGTTATCTAATATGTTCCCTCTCGGATATTCTCTGCTTAGAGAACATTTTTCATATGCCTATCTCTATGAGCATAATAATTACGAAAAATTTTTTTAGCATTACTGTGCAGTGTTCATTATCGCAAAATGATCACATTTGGTGTTATTGAATTTAGCTCAGCGCTATTTTTTAAGGCAAGTATAAATGTTTGATAATGACAAATTTCTGATGCGTAGCTTAAATCACTCATAAATTGTATAATACATCATCGAAACATTACAAAAAGAAAATGCTACGCAAAAATGAATTACATAATTTCAATAAATATAAGTAATATTTTTTTGTCCCTATCGATTTAATATCGGATAAGATTTAAATCGTATAAGGTATTATGCGATCCAACACATCCTTTTTATCATTTCTACTAAATGAGATTACCATTTCCCATTGTAATATCAAATTATTACGTAATACATGTCTATTTGAGATTCTTTTTTTCTTGTATTGTCACTTATCTTCTTCACTTAGCATAGTACCTAATGTTATATACCCTGAAAAGCTTTGTCTTCCAGATCGTCAAAGAAATTCTATACAGTGCTAATGTTAGCATTAGTATCATCAAAAGTAGGGAAAAATGTCATGAAGTTAAGATTAATATGTTATTATCAAAAGGTTAATTCTCTATATATTCATATCGTAGAGATGTGGAGGAGCACCTACCACTGAAGGCATCTGGCAGCCACGTCGTACTAACAGACGAACAGATGGTCCACCGTTACGTATAATTTCAATCGCTTCTGTATGGGTCATATTTTTGGTATTAATACCATTTATTTCAATTATTTGATCACCGATCTAGAAATAACATAAATACTTTCATATAACATCTTATATATATTATTCATATACATCTTATATATACTTTCATATACATCTTATATATACTATTTATAGTTACTATATTTCTAGCAACAGTATCAGAATTCATTAAATTTAATATAAGATTAATATGAGCCAATGTTTATTTCTATCAATATAAATTAACATTAATCTCGGTTTAGCTCACTTTATTTTTTTTAAATTTTACTCACCCTAAGTCGATTGTCAATAGATGCCGGACCGTTTTCCGCGATTTGCAAGACGAATAATGGCATATTTTGAAATTCGCGGCCACCACGTATGCTAAAGCCAAAACCTCGGGTGCCCCGAGTTAATTCTACAGCATGATATTGGCCTCCATCTCCATCTCCTGTAGGTTCATCCTAAACAAAAAAATTCTACAATTTGTAACATTTTTCATAATCAGCATAAATTAATGAGAAAAAGATATTTCGCAATATATTACTAAATTACAAAATATTTTACAGGAAATCTGTACCTTTTGAGAGAGAGATGTGTTGCTACAGCAATCGTCCAACGGATATCCAATTGTTAGTGTAACAGAATAACCAGAATCTTTAATCAAATTGACAATATCTTTATGACAAACATTCGTAATATCTATATGATTGACAGCGAGAATATGATCTCCGACGTTCAATCTTCCGCATCTTTCAGCGGGCGAGCCTTCGATTATCCTGCCAATTGTGGAACCAGCTTTGTTGACGGACGAGATTATTACAAAACCGAATCCCTCATTTTCCATTCGAGTGACTGTAACATCATACGGGTACTGAAGATTCATCTGTCGGCCATAAGACGGTTGAAGATTTTCTTGAAGATGCTCCTGTGTGTTGATTCGACGTCGTATTCCAAGAGTTACTCGACCGTTTTGTGCTGCCGCTATCATTAGTTGCACTACATGATGATGAGAAGAATTCATGACGCTTTCTCCGTCGACGGACATGATCAGATCGCCGGTATTGAGTCTGTTATCAAGATCGGCCGCTCCGCCAGGAACGATATGACCGACCGAAACCTGCTAACCGTAATATTTTTAACGTTCTCGTTTTTATTAACTGTGATGGCTATACTTGATTTTGGAATACACAACAGCAGCAACGTTACTTGTGAATTAATACGGATCATCAAAACCAACCTGAGATCCTTCCTCTGTACCGCCAACTATTCTAAATCCAAATCCAGTATCTTGTCTCACTAAAGTTACTAAAGTTTCTATCCATTCAATATCGGGAACCATTGGACAGACCAATTCGTTCGTGTATTGAGGATACCTTGAATTAATATTATAAATAAAATAGTTTGGACAATATTTCTAAATTTTGTGTTTTTAAACATATTCAGTAATTTTCAAGCACATATTTTATCTCATGGCTATAATATTAATTTAAAAACTTTGGAAGATAAAAATAATCATAATCTTAATTTTTAATTTTAATTTTTTTCTTAATTTTAACTCTGACGCTGGAACAATATACATACCGAGATATGGAACTGGAATGTGGTTGTTCGTGCTCGAAACTGGTGGTTTCTTTCCGTTTATCCCAGATCTCGCCAGTATCGACATTCTGTTCCTGTCCTATGGAATACATATTGTAATCCTCATTATATTGGGAATGTGACTGAACTGGATAGACGTCTTTGTAAAAGTCAGAATGCAGATATCCGTTCTGCTTGAGCATATTATTGTGATGAGAAATATCGATGGAATACATATCGTTATTGATATTTAATTTATCATTTGCCGCCCAGTCACGCTTCGGAACATTTCTGATGGACTCGTCGTCAAGATTCATCACCGCGAAATTATCTGATAAATTGGCTGTGATGTTAGCTTTATACGGATCCGTATAATACATCCCAGGTGAATAGTCGGAATACTTGTAGTGATTATCCAGCGGATTCAATTCGTTTTCGCCCTGCACCTCGTTCCAGTTTGATCTGCTCGCGTTGATCGGCGATTTAGGACGATTCCTGGTGTCAATCAATGGCGTTTTCGGTCTGCTGGGTATCACCGTCTTCGACTGAGTGCTGTAGATATCCGCAGTGGGCGTTTTACTTCTGAAAAAGTCTTGCGTATTCTTCTCCTTTTTCTCCTTCAATTTCGTCGTTGTTCGTTGAACATGTATCAACGCTTCCTCACTGCGCGGACAATCCTTCAGCACTTGCACTACTTCCGAGTGACACATGTTCCTAACGTTAATATCATTTATGTTGACCAAAATATCGCCCTCCATTAAGTTCTTACAACGCTGACGATCCAGAATCTTCTTGACTTTCTGGCCGTGAGCAGAATCCGCTATCGTAAACCCAAATCCCATAGCTCCTTTTACGATAGCGATGCTGAGAAATTCTGGTTTGGAAGACACCGGTGAGTCTTTACAATCGTTCAAATCGCTGCTTTCAGACAATAAAATGTCTGTGCTGCTTGGTCTCTTTATCGTGTTGATTTTGTCCGAAATGCAGAGATCGGGCATCGAGTTAACGGACGTCGTAGCGAGATTCTCACCATTCTGAAGACTGTGCACTGGCAAAAAGGTAGAATCCAGAAAATTAAAACGTCCATTGTCTTGGAGAGATGAATTCAAATCCATATACATCGCGGGATCTTCTGCCAAAGAAATTCAGAATAATCTAATTTTCTGGTAAAAAAACATCTGCAAATATTGACTATCAGCTTGATTTATATACCTGGCGCATTGACGGCGATTGTGGTCACGACTTCCGTATTAGGATCATTAGGATCGAAAGGCAACGAATAACCTCGACACACTTCCAAAGACACTGTCTCGCCGCTACCGATTGACTTGAATACATTTACCATTTCATTATGCGTAAACCCTAGCACGCAGGTATCATTAACATACACTAACACATCTCCTGAAAATAAATACAATTGTGCAGACAAATGGAAGCGGAAGTAAATTACACGCTTAAGAATTAGCGGTATTTGGAAATTACCGGTTTGTAGTTTCCCATCCAGCCATGCTGGACCATTTGGCACGACGCTTTTAATTTGGAGGAATTCTTCCACGGTATCGTCACCACCGACAATGGTGAATCCCAGGCCCCGTGAACTCTTTATCAATGTAGTTCGTATCCTTTGGCCCTTCAATTTATCGGGATTTCTGGTGAAGTTGGGACTCTTCCTCTCGAGCAAGTTCTGTTGCGCCCTTTTCGCTTGCAATACAGGATTTTCATATTGAGTTCTACGATTCACGTGATCGATGAAATATGTGCCGTACAAAGTGTCATCAATTTTTTCCCATCCATAGGGTAATTCATCGTCAAGGCATTCCTCCAAGGACCTTTTTTGAAATTTCGACAAACGTGGGTCTAGCCAGTGAGACGTGCCTGTATTGTGGCTGTAATATGATTCACGAATACTTTTCTTCAAATGCAAAAGAATAAAATAATAATAATAAAGGACACGTTATACAAGTACCATTTTTTTATCAAATCTCAACAGATTCTTATATAAAAACATTGCAATCAATATATGAAATAGCCAGTTCTATTAAAATTAATAAAAATCTTCAATATGAGGTAAATAACAGGGCAACATATATAGGTATACATACTCTATAAAATAAACTTCTCCTGTGTCAGTGTACGCCTTCTCCCAATTAGGTGGTAATGGGCCTAATTGATCCTCCGTGGCTGGAGTACGATTCCGAATGGTTTGTTCTTGATCTGAAGTTCCTGTACTCTGCTCTGATCCCGTATTGTACATATATGTCGGCGGAATTCTTCCCCCATCATTTCCACCAATTGTCAGTATCTCCTTGTCCAGACTCTCTCCTTCGAAATGAGGTATAGATATTAAAAACTTAATTATTATATCGCCTTAACACAACTGCACTTGTGATACATGAAAATTAATACAAATTATAGTATTCCAAATATTCCTTATACAATTTACAGCTGCAATTTCATATTTTTCAAGTTTAGTCAAGTTTATATTAATATAATTTCGATATGTAATATTGTATATGAAATAATTTTGATAAATTTTTTCAAAATCAAAATAAATATCTATTTCAATATAGATATTTAAATGTGATTGACAGTTACCATCATTGGGATTGTCGATAGACGCTGTGTCGTCAGTTTTTGTAGCCATCTTGAAGTCCTTATGTTCGTTTCAAAATCCTGATATCAACAATATAAGGAGATACATTAAATTACAAATTATAATATGAATAAAATATAACATTTAATATAACAGAAAACTAAATTCGTAATTGTTTCGTGGAATTTTTTAAAATTAAAATACAGAGAAAGAGAAAAAAGGTTCACGCGTTGAGATATCAAATACACAGCTATTCAGTTTCGAGAAGTTTTGATATAGAGAACTTGAATATGCACACACTTGTACAGTTTCTACATTCTACTATCAGGGAGATAAAATATAGACGGAGTAACCGTGCAAAGTATCGCGTGATAAGGAGATTTGTCCTTCCGAGAGGCATGGCATCACCGGTGGTGATGTACGCGTGACGGACGGTGGATTCTCTTTTTCACCGACAACGCCGGTGCGTTCACCGGTTTCGATAGTATTTCGAAAAGTAGCCGGCGTATACAAGCACGAGGAGTAAAATAGAAAGTAGAACAGTAGACTTATAATCTCTACAACCGTTATACAAGCGTTGTTCCGCGATCGTTTCTGCGATCGCACCTTCGACGAAGCGTCGCCTCTCATTGAACTACGCTGAAAACGAAGATCAACGCAATTCAGATTTCGATGCGGAAGAGAAGGAAAAAAAAAAAAGGAGGAAAAGAAACAAAAAGGAGGAAAGAAAAAAAAAAGTGGTAAGGTAGGCGCGGCCGAGGAAGCGAAACGAAGCCTCTCCGCAAATTCAGGCGTACTCGCGATCACATGTTCGGTCCCGGGGCCAACTTCACGCCGCGTCGTTGACGCTTGCTGCACGCGCGTCAGACGGACAGGTGTCCGCGGGACGCAATTACATAAAGCAAGGAAAGGAACGCTGTCATGCGGGCGGGGGGTAGGGCCTGAAGAGAGAGGGGCACGCAGAGAAAGGGGAGAAACACGGAGAACAGAGAGAGAGAGAGAGAGAGAGAGAGACGCATGCGGGGTACGGCGATGGGCAGAGCCGCACGAACGTGAATGCATTCTTACGAATGCATTCACCCGTGCGCGGGGCGCGAGCGAATGTGCCGCGGCCGCTCACACATAACGCGCGATCATTAGGTCCATTCGTCTTAGAGCGGCGTTCCCCTGCATTTTCTATACCCTGAGGTGAGGCAGAGGAAAAGAGGACAGCGATGAAGCGCACGAGAGGAGATATCCAATATCCGATAATACACGCGTGTGTGCGTACCCGTTCTAGCTGCGCGTTTCTCTCCCGGGGGGGCTTCCTGCATGCGCAGCGAAGCAGACGCAGGGAGAGAGGAGGGAGATATAAAAAGAAAAAAAAAAAGAAGAGCGGACTTGTCGCGCGCTGTAACATAATGTAACGTAAATATGCTACGCTGGGGATTGGTGACTCCTTCGTCGGTTTTCTCTCTTTTTCTCTCGCACGGTACTCCCGCATCGACGTGGCCAGGCACATGCACCCGCGCGATGCAACAATGGCACGCGATCTCGCGACTCTCCTTCCCGACCTGCATTCGAGATGTTCACGCGCTGGCCGTTACTAACTAAGAAATATCGAGAGCTGATACTTATCGCGGAAATGAGGAGAAAGACAGAGGAAGCATAGGAAAAAGGAGCAAAAAAAAAACAAGAAAATAGACGTGTATGCATGTATGCGCGCATGTTGTATGTCGTGTTGTGTATATATTTGTATTTAGCCAACGGTTTCCTCCGTTTTCTCCCAACGACGGCAAGGAAGAAGGCTGCGACGGCGACAACAACACGGGATTACTCACGCTGCGTTTTCTGCACGATGACGCGTCCGACGGCACGCGTAACCGTCATGGTTCCAGCAGTGGTGCGGCCAAGTGATATCCGTTGGGTTAACCGTCGGCACTGAATCACTCGCGGATCGCGGAAACGCTCATCGCATCGTCGTGACGATAGCGCACTCGCTCGTGAAACAGACGGGGAGAGAAAAAGGGAGACGGCATGCATACGCTCGCGTAGCGCATCGACGACCCGGGACTACATTACACGGCACACTCACCACACCGCTCACTCTCGTACGTACGTACGAGACATTTAACCGACCGCCGTACGTCGCCGTTGCCGCCGCCGTCATCAGATCCTGCGCCTGCGTCAAGCGCGCGCGCCCCGAGTCACGTGATCGCGTGTTTGAAAGAGGGAGGTTTGAAAGAAGCGTGCGCAAAAACGCTCGAGATGAGAAAACGAAAATGTTATGTTTAGAAAAAGGGAATGAGTTCATAAGGCTGGTTTTCGACCTTACCTGAATTTTATTCTATATTATTAGAAATCTTTTATTATTGTGAAACTTATTGAGATCATGTGATTTTAGCTTTAAACGCATTTGTTTGTTCTATAACTAATTAATCACATTTCTATCACCAACATATTTGTCATATTATTTTCATACATTTGCTCATCTATCTTTATTTTGTTGAACGCCATCAGGTGATGACTTTTATCTCGCTAAGAACTATGCACTGAAGTTGTAGGAACAGACAACTTTTTTTCACTTTTGTCAAACTTCAATATCTATTAAGTACACTACTTCATTTACAAAAAATCAAATTAATAGAGAAGAAGAAAAAGAAGAAGAAGGCTTTAACTGTATCTTCAATCTGCCTTTTTAAGTTATATGATACATTTCTAATACCGTAAGCATGAATTAATGAATTTTTTTCTTTTCTCTCTTTTAGGACCGTGGCATATAGAAAAACGTAAGATTCCTGAAGTCACTGTCATATTGGAATTAGACGTCATAGGCGAGACATAACACAATAAAAATTATTGCATCTAATTTGCAAATAAAGAGATATTTAATTGAAACAACACTTGAGATAACTTTAAGACACTTGTGAAAATGATTACTATCCTTTTCTTTCCTGACAGATAATAAATAGCTGTAAAAGACTCGTTAAATGAAGCTTGCTTAGGTAAAAAACAGACAGTTTAATAACTGTTGAAAGAAGTGAAAAATATGCCTTTACTTATAATATTTAAAGATAACTTTAATTGTTGTTCATTTTTACGAATTTGATAAGTACGAAATAAGTCACATCTGCATTAAGTACGAAATTAGATGCAATCAAAAATTTTGTTGCCGCACGTCACTTATTATAAAGAACACGGGCCGATATTCATTGATTCTTATTTTAAGATTAAGTATGTCTTAACATGCTCTGATTGGTTGATAAGACAATACTTAAAACAATACTTAAAATCCTTAAGACAATATAAGACAAGAATAAGATCAACAAAGATGAATGAGCCTTTTAATTTTTACTACGACGGAATAATCGTCTGTGATTATTTTCGTGCCATGGACTTTAACTCTTAACAATTAAGCATCACAGTGTAAGTTACCACACTGAAACTCTCAAAAATTGTGAAATGAAATGTCTCATAAATATGTGGGACAATGGCAATATTTAAACTTGCTATCCATTGAGTCAATCGCACTTTAAGCACTGAGCCATGCGTCGTCCCGTATCTATCTTTGAATTTTCTAGATTATCTAAAGTTGTTTAGTTCTAAAGTTGTTTACATTTTTGAATGAAACTTAAGACATTTATATGATTTCTCGGATGTTCACATGTGATTTGTCGTGATGCTGTGTGCGAGTGTGTCGGATATGTTGAAGTAAGATAATAACTTTTCGAGGAGACTATTTTTTAAGAACTTACAAAATCTAAAGATAGACAAACAAACATATAGGGATAATATGATATAAGAAATGTGATTAATGAATTACAGGATGAACAGGCCTCAAATATGCCGTTCTAAGTCACAATCACTTTTAATAATTTTTACAATAATAAAAAAAGGTTTCTAATTGTTTCGAATAAAATTTAGATAGGGCCGAAAACTGGTCTTATGGACTCCCCTCTTTCCGCACGATAGACAAAATATTAGGAACAGAAAAATAAATATTAAATTTTAAAAATGAAAATTAAACGTAACGCACAATGAACACAGATAAAAGATGTAGCTCTGTGTCCATTGTACATTATGTTTATCTTTATTCTTAATTTTTATTTCCAAAATTTTATAATTTAAATTTTAATATTTATTCCTGTTTTTAATATTTTCTCCATTATGTGTAAGACCAAAGATACATGAAACATTCTCTCTCCACGCGTATTCTTCTCATATTTTACGAGAGCGATATTGATATCTTTTATATAAGTATTTATGTAATTAAAATTTAGTTTCAGAAAAAGTTCTTAAAAAGTACTTAAAAACAGTAATTTTGAGGAAGAATCTCAACTAATTATAACAAAATCAGAGATATACACACGAAAATAATCGCTCAGCTCGATATAAAGAGGTAATTACTCAACTCAAATAACGAAAAGAAAGAAAGCAAAAGAAATCGATATGCAAACAAGGATAGGTATGAACATTTCTTTTACAGTTTTGAATACAATTATACTCTCGAATAAAATACAAATTTCAAAATGGAAAACTGTTTGTTTATAGATAAAACCACGCATGTCGTCCCAGCGTTAGAGCTGAACGTAATTGTAATCGTCAAGGATCTTGTAGCGGTCCTGCCGATAGTGCACCAAATCGTCCATGAAGCGCATGCTGCTCTCATTGTGAAGCTTCGTCAACACGGGTGGTAGTGGCGTGACACCCGCGACATTCGCTAGGTCATCGTAATAGTGACCTTGCTCGGGGCCCATCATGTGAAAGTGTCTCTTCTGCAGACCTCTCTCGGCGCGTCTCGCCACTTCCTCCGCCTCGGAACGCAGCATATCCGCTCGCGCGGGGAACTGCCTCTCGCCGTGCCAATGTCGTAGGACGAATCGCACCTTGAAATTGCAAAGTAATCCCGTTGCTATTATCACCGGTGGCACGTAGTCACGCCGGCCGGCGCCGGATGCGCGACGGTGACTTTCTAACATTTTTTTTCCCGTCGCGCGCGACCGACCGCGTTCCTTTCCAGCCACGCTCGGAGACAATCTCATCCGCTCCGGATGCCCCGCGGGCCTGGAATGTCGCGTGTCTTGAGCGGTTTGCGCGCGGCCTTTGTACGTCTGACGTATCCCAAGGTACGAGTTCGAAACGTAAAATACAACATAGTTAGAAATGTAGAATACTCTTTCAATATAGATTTCATCAACGGTAAGGTACAAATAGAATCGATTGTTACTTTTGAACAAATTTATTTGTTGAATAAAACTGTAAGTAAAAAAAGAACAACGTGTAAGAGTAAGCGGAGATTTATCAAAAGATGGAGCAACGAACCCATAAATAGATATAATTAGAATCTTTATCTTGATAATATATTTTTATCTTAATTATAAATATTTTTATTTTAATTTTGGGAAAATATAAAAAGCAAAGAAAAATTTTGTACCTGTAGATCGAACATACTAAAGGCGCAAACGTAATACGGAAGACCAATGAGTGCCAGGGTTGTATTCTCTATAGAGACCAGATGCTTCCAAAGAGGCGTGACCATATTGGAGTCAACTCGGACTCCACAAGACTCGGCGAGAAAGGGGAAACTGTACTTGTAGCCTTTTGAGAAACAAGATTCAAAGGATTATTTTAATTATTGTTATAGGAGGCAATTTCTATAACAAGGGGAGGGGCTTTACCTGTACAATAGAAAACAACATCGATCTGCTCCTTCGTCCCATTCGCAAAAACTGCCTCGCGCTCCGTCAGTTCCACCACGTCAGCTTTCTAAAAAGAAACCGTCATGACCGCTAAAAAGCACCTCCAGGTGTAATTTTACTATTTTCTTTCTGAACTTGCGCTTTTACCTGCACGATATTCTCAGGGAACACAGTGGCTATTGTGTCAGTCATGTGATGACTCAGAAGCACACGATTCGCATTCTTGGATATTTCCAACGCCAAATCCATACCTGCCGGAAAACAGAAAGATGCTGCATTTCAACCGTCGCCAATAACTTCGCCCCGCGAATTTTTTATTTTCCTTGATTCGCACTTTCAAAATTAAGTATTTACAAACAGAATGTTTGCTTAACAACAAAGCACGTTAATAAAATTAAAAGAAAAATGTCAAACCCGTGAAAAAAAAACATTCCTTTCTTCTGATCTATTATTCTCTGTTTTGTGTAATAATTGAAATTTTACAAATCCATTAGAATTGTAGAAAAAGGTATCTTATTTGGAAAAGACCAGAAGTGTGATGTCGTATGTACCGGAAGGACCAGCCCCCATGACGACAACGGTCTTGCCGTCGAAAATCTCGGGAACCCTATAATCATGGCTGTGTATCTGTTTGCCAATGAAGATGTTTTGGCCGGGTATATTCGGGATCCTAGGCTCAAAATAATGACCGTTACACACCATGATCGCATCGAAAGATTCGATCCTGACTATGTCCCTCTGCAAGTCCCTGACCTTGATCGACCACTTCCGGTCCCCCACAGCCGGCTCCACCAACTCTACATGATGCAACAGCTATGGAACGTTTATACTATGATAAGCTTATATCATTATATAAAGCAATTTAATCATTTAATAATAATAATAATAATTATAATATTTGATAATTTATATTTAATAATAATTTAAATGTAATTACGATATCTAATGCAAGTACAATTTTCCATTGTGCCTTCTGCAATTCTATACACCCACCCGAATGTAAGGACGTAACGCAAAGTGATCACAGTACGAGTTCAAGAAATCGAGTATCTCCGTGCGCGATAGATAGCTTGCGGCACCTTCCGGTATCGGAAAATCAGGATAGCCCATTACCTCCTTCGGAAGATTAGTCCTACAAAAGCCGACACGCGATTTTCATCATTAATATCGAATAATTTGAAATAGATTTAAATATTTAATACGAGAGAGATGAAACTCACTGAGGATTCATTTTTATAAAATATTTTTCTTAAAAAAATTAACTGACATATATAAGGATATGACATATATAAGAATAAGAGTAATACATTTAAAATTAAAATATTTATTGAAAGTCATAAATTTATTATTAATGTTCACTCTCCTATGCAGAATCGGGAAAATGAAAGTTGCCTGCAAGGAAAATGCTCCGTACCTGAGGCTTTTGTACATGCTAGTGTGAATCGATAAACCATATTTATCAGAACCAGTTTCTTCTCGATAGACCCAAGTTCCGCCGATTTGATCTGTTTTTTCGTAGCACACCACTTGATCGTTGTAAGTACCGGAAATGCAGTGCCTGAGTGCAGCGAGTCCCGCGGCTCCGGCGCCGATCACGGCGATTTTCATGATTGCGCAGTTGTTAGCTGTTTAAGCTTCACAGAACACGAGGAATCTTCGTTATAACACTTTCAGCGAAAGTGCTATATCGGCAATCTATTTCGTAGTTAATGGAGCACGATCGTGGTATGTACATTTTGTAATACATGGATATATGCTAGATTACTTTTATCACTCTCAGCCGAGACAGAAGCAATTTTTCTCTGATAAGATGGAGAAACAATTGAGTTTCTCAAAAACCAAACTCTGATTAACTCCACAAAATAAAAAAAACAGAAAATAATTATAATCATAAACCAGGCTTTGATTATTAAAATTAAGAAATTTACAAAAAGTGAAGTTAATCAGTTCATCAGCTTTAATTAATATTCATTATTTTATGTCTTTTTAAGAGATTTTTTTTAAGAGACAACATATAACTGAATATAGATAAACGTGCTTTAATCGAGAATGATAACAGTTATCTATTTGCTTAATAGTTACTTACTTAATAATTTAATTCGCGAAAAATTAACATTCTTTTTAATTATATCATTGTTAATCGGTCATCAAACTTTGATATAAATAATTAACAGTTAACGAGTTATTCTGTGAACGATTGCGATTATATTGATATATAACAGTTAATCTCTTTCTTATTACGTTATATATTATTATATGCATGATAGTTCCGAACGCAATCAATAATCCATTTATATAATTTTTTTTGTCAAAATTATTAATTGATTGCGACAGCTCTAATTATGACTTCATGCAAACTAGTTGCACTTGTGCAATCGAAAGTCGTTCTTTCTTTCGCGCATTCTTATCATATGTTAAGATATATTTGTATATTATTTTAAATTTAACGTATTTAAAAAATCTTTTGATTGATGAAATTTTGAAGATAAAATTAACATATATATTAAATGTATGCACAACATACGTACAAATAAAACGCACTCGACGAGATTCGATAAGACAAAACAGATCGTCAATCATAAATTCAAGATAAAGTTTTGATAAAATACTATCTAGTTACTCACCAATGGAAAAATACAAAGCACCCGTACCGAAACGCAATCTGACGAAGTGTGCAATACGTGTCACAACCGAAGCGGAAAACCAAATGACCGGAGCGGAGAATGAAGCGATCATTAAAGAAAGGAGAAATACAAGGCTGATAGCGATAACGAGTCATCACGTATCCCGTATTTACCATATAAACGGGAAACTTTGACCTTCCTCTTTTAGATGTTTACTTCATTATCCCTGAATGTGATGATCAGTACAACGCTCGACTTTAATTAGTTTTAAGTTTATTCTTTAAAAATCTGTGACCATAAAGAGTAACCATAAAGAGAAAATAATCAATATCACAAGGCAATGATTACAAATGTCACAAGATACAATTTATCACACACTCAAAATATATATCAATTTCATTGTACAGAATAAAATTTATTATTATGTCTTACATCTATTACATCTTATTAAAGCTATAAATGATCATATAGTTTTCAATCGTCATATGAATAAATATAAGTAGCAAATGCATGTTGTTTTTATGCATTTTGTTGTTCTTAAATTTTCAAACAAAGAAACTTGTTATGAAACTGAATCAATCAAAATTATTCCACTTTTTCTAGAAAAGATCTCTAGAAAATAACTGAACAATTTCAATCAGAATCCATTTCAATTCCATCACACATATCGGAATTATATGAATCTTTTTCTTTCACAAAACGAGAAAGATCGAAAATTCTTCCTGTATGATACTGTTTATGATCCATTCATCAGTGTTTTCTCTCCGATTCCCACTTATTCTTATATAACATATACAATTGCATTGCTGCCCTCGCATCTTCCACGGAATTGTGCTCACCTATTTGTATCTCTTTACCTAACAATTCGTGCGCGAGTTTTTTCAAGCTGGGAGTATTCCCCTTTGATATATGACGAAAAGGTTTATATCTTGAAGTATCCCGCCAATATCTACGCGGATGTGACAAGTACAATACATTGAGATCGTGTTTCAATGCGTGGCCTACTAAAATGCGACCTTTCAAGATGTCCGCCACTTCCTTCTGTACAATGTTGAAGTTTTCACCATTTTGCAAATGTTCTGGTCGAATACCACTGACTGCTGTTCTATAATCCACTATCTTCTCTCTCGGCTTGACATATTTGTCATACACACAATCACCATATTTATTTACAATTGACACTCGGGCAATCATACTCTCTGTACCATCGCCAATTCCGACCATTTCACAATCCATGGCAATCTGCTTCGTCAAACTCTTATTTTCCTTATTTTTGATGACTTTGTGATTATTTTCCAATGAATCCTATAAGCAACAAGTATATATTAAGAAATGTAATTTACCAATAATAATAATATATATATTTGAAAAAAATATCGCATATTTACCATATGAAAGGTAGAATGTATTTTTTTAGGCTTTGGATGCCTGTTTTGAGAGATGTTTTTTTCTTCGGTAGCTTCATCTGTCTTTGTATTAGAATACAAAGTCTGGAACCTTTCCCAATTACATCCAGATGCCTTACGTTCCATACTTGGAACAAATTGTTTTGTCGTTTTATTTCTCTTTTTCTCCATACTGATTGATGTAATGTTTGCGCTTGAAAAAAAAACAAATTTCTTTTATTTTCTTTTAATTTAATAAATATTTCTAGCAAACGTTTATAACCATCTGGTCACGACTTATAATTTAAAATATTATAATTTAAAAATATTTATTATCATTTAAAATATTTAATATTTTCAATAAGCATCATATATATATATATATATTTTTTTTTTTCACAATTTTTATAAATCAATTTGTGTAAAATTTTAGTAATACAATTTTCACAGTATTAAAAAAATTAATGTTTCTTGTTACGAAACTTGTAAATAACATAACCTAATACAATAATTTGTTAAAATTACGTGCAATATCAATTAATAGAAAGTTACTTTATTATGTCGTCAATTTTGTAATATTGCCGATAGTTTCTTCGAAAATAACAAAATTATTTATTCTGTAACTATTCAGTCCAAATTCATTTCCAAATTTTGAAATAAATTATCGACGTTAGTACCAAACAACAAGCCTGTTCTTTTTGGTTGAACTGATTGTATTAATTCACAGTTTATCTTTCTTTCTTACACTGGAAGAAGAAAGATAAATTCTGAACTAGTGCAGCGAGTTCAGCTAAAAAGAACAGACCCAATATTTTTATGGTTCTTCACATTGAGCTCTATAGTATACTGGAGTGAGCCTTCCCTATACTAAACTATAGAAAATCGCGGCCCAGCGGAGAAAAGGACATATTAAAGTTGAAATCTTTATCTTTTCTACAGTGTACTTGTTGATTAACCTTATGGTAGGAGAATAACATTAATCAATCCGAGAATCTCTTGACAAAGAGAACGAAACCAAATCGCACGTTGTTTTTTTTTTTAGTAAATGAAACATCTCCACTCCTTGAAGGCTCACTCCAGTATACTGGAGAATAGTATGGTTCTTCACTTAGAACGCGGTGGCCAATCATCGTCTTAGTTTTTTTAATACCGGAAAGTAATTTCTTCCTCATGCCGCCAAAAAAACCGCAATTGGTCACCGCACTGTCACCGCATTTTATGTGCAGAGCCATTAACTGCATTCAACAGGAGTCAATTGTGTATCTTCAAATGAAGTGGAAATGATAAAAATGAGGAAATTCACTAGAGTATGTGCAACTTCGTATGTCGAAAGCTAATAAATTTCCCCACTTTTGTAATTTTCATCTTGCTTCAAGATACACAATTGACTCCCAGAAAAGGCAACTTCGCAACTGTGATTCAATATGATTTCAATATGATATGATTTATATAAATCCGGTTTAAATTCATGAAGAATAAAGGGGAAGAGACAATCATATTAAAGAATCTTACATTGCAAAGCTGATTTTTCTGAATATTGTTTTTCTATGGATCGGCTGTAAAATTTTGTCCACGAAGAGTCTTGTGTTAGAAATCCATCCGAAATCTCGGATGAAAGGAGACTTGACCAATTGCGTTTAAATAATTCGGTCAATTAACTAATGCGATTAGTCAATTCTCTTTCCATCCAAAATCTCGGACCAAACATCGTGGACACAAGAGCCGGGATTCTATACTTGATTAGGCCTCGTCTACAATATGTCGTGTGTCGGTGTCGTGAGTCATAAGAACGGGCCAATCACAGACGAATGTGGAGAGAATACTTG